ATGCCCTTTGCCTCCCAGCTCTTTCCTCTATTTCCCTTGATTCTCCTCCTGTCCCACTATCATGCTCAGTCCCCACCAGGATTTCAGCACTAAGATCGGTCTTTCAAACCCACTACTTGCTCAGTGGGGGAAAGATGAGGCTGTCTGCTTCTGTAAAGATTTAATCTCAGAAACCCAAAGGGTCCAGTTCCACTCTGTGTTATTGGGTCACTATGCATCAAAATCAACTTGGTGGTAATGAGTTTATTTAAAATTTATTTATTTAAAAATAAATATTGAATGGAACTGTTCCAGCACATGATTAGGGATTAAGTCTCCCTATTTGCTAATTGTGACCCACCACGGCCATCGTGTCAATTCTGACCACGGCAATCCTATAAGATAGAGTAGAATAACTCCTTAAGATTGCTGGGACAGCAACAGATGGATTTGAACTGCTGACCTTTTGGTTAGCACCCAAATGTTTAACCCATTGTACAACCAGGCTTCCCCAGGAATGAGGAGCTAATTATCTGGAAGATAATGTGTGAATTATTGGAGTGGTGGAGAGGGGTGTGAACTTGAATATGAATTAGGGAGGCATCCATTTCCCTGAGGGCTAGTTCTTAGGATAATTGCTATGAAGGCCTCGGGGCTCAAAGTAATGAGGGACCTGACTGAAAATTGGCAAGATCCCTAAGCCTGCAGACTGGGGACTTGAGAATACTCTTGATCAGTGTCACTTCTCATGACCAAGTGAAGATGTGAGGACAAGGGCAATACAAATGTATGATAGGGCGTCAAAAAGTCTGTGGAAAGATTCCCTTATGTTTTTATTCCATTTCCCTGCGAACTTTTTGAACCCCCATCACATAAAAAATGTTTCCAGTACCTTTTAATTCCATTCTTATCTTAGAGATAAGCATATAGAAGCTCGGAAGATTTAAGTAACTTGTCTAAGACAACCCAACTATTAAGAGTACGGTTGGGATTCAAAATCGTATTTGTCTGACTCTAAATCTGGAACTCATAATGGCCTTATAGAACAGGGTAGAATTGCCCTTGGGGGTTTCCAAGAGAATAGAAAACCTTGTCTTTTTCCTGAGGAGCAACTGGTGGTTTGGAACTGCATGGAAGTCGCACTTTGATTGGGCCACTGTCAGGTGTAGCTACCTGCAGGTTAGCTTGCTATTAAGCAGCCCAATGTATAACCACGACGTCAATGGGGTTCCCTGTAGGATCACTATGACTCAGAATCTATTCGATGACATTTTGTGCTTTGAGGTTTTTCTTTTTTAAATCCGGAAGGGTAGAGAGCAAGCAAGATGTGAGTGGAGAGATAGGGAATTAACTTGATTGGTCTTCCATGTTCGTTCATCATCTAATCGCCAACATACATACTCTGTTCTGTCCTTTAACTTTTTGATGATTTCCTCATTGTTTCTCTTTTTTCTCTCCATCTCCCTATCACTCCTCTTTACAGTTCAGCCTTCTCAACCTACGTTTATTGGATCTTTACAAAACAAACAGAAGATTCAGCTTTGCCCTCCAGGACGTGCAATGGCACGAACTCTGACTTTTCCATTCCCCTGGACGTCAGCGCGCCTAGTCTAGACGGAGCGGAGCGTCTGCGTGAGCCTTGGCGACGAGTAGGAAATCAGAGGAAGGGGAGCAGCAGGTTGCACTTTCCCCTCAGGGCCACTAGGGGCTGCCCTCCTCCGCGCAGGAGCGCCGGCCAACGCAGCCTGACTCAGAGTCCTGCGTGAACCCTCCGCTGATTGGTGGCTCCGCAAGGAAGTCGCACTTTGATTGGGCAGCTGTCGGGTGTCTCTGCCGGCAGGTTCGGCTGCGCCAGCAGAGGGAGGCGGGTGAGTGAGGGCCGGGGGCGGTGGGGGAGTGGCTGGGGGCTGGGGGCGGTATCTGAGGAGGTGGGCTCGGCCGAGGGGGTCTCCGCTGGGGTCCGGCGGCCGCAGTTAGCCTGAGCTGGGGGCGGCATCGGAAAGCGGCTCTGCGGAGAGGCCTCAATGTCAACGTAGGGAGAGTGAGGCTGAGAAGGCGGGGGCGGGCAGAGTCGGGATCCCCGAGAGCCCATTGCGCTGAGTCGATGGCGGGCGGTCTTGGTGCCCGGCAGCTGTGCGAGGCGAAGACGGGCGGAGGAGGGTGTGCGAGAGCCAGCGTGAGAGGAAGAGTGGGGGTGAAGGCCACTAGGGGGAGGGCCGAAGTGTGTGTGCGTGAGGGGGGGGGGTTCTGCATGAAGTAGCGTGGGAGTGGGGTGCGTGAGGAGTGGTATCAGCAGTGGGCAGGGTCAACTTGAGGAAGGGGAGTGCTTATGATGGAGCCTGGAGCCTGCCGAGAGGGGTTGTTTGCGGAAGGACAGGATGCATCTCAGGAGCAGGGAGAGAGAAAGAGAGAGAGAGATATCTCGGGCAGTTTGGCGGGGCGTGGGGGAGTCCCAAAAGGGGTCTGAGCGTCCAAAGAAAAGAAAAAAGATGTTACCTGACTCCTGTCTGGGTTTGAAGGACTGCTTATACTTGGGGATCTGTGATCAGTTGGATTAGCTGGATTAGGAGAGTCAGTGAGGAATGATGACAGTAAATTGGGAGAAGTGGGGGAGGTAGTCTGAAGGAACTGATAACAGCCCAGGGATGGCAGTGCAGTTGCATCAGTCAGAATAAGGGGTATGTAGATAGGGCTGCTGGGGAACCCTGGTAGCATAAACGGGGGTGGGGTGGGATGGGGGTTAGCATTTAGCTGCTAACTAGGCTGGTCGTTTGAACCCACCAGTGTGCTCCCCCAAAGATGACAGCTGTGGAAACCCTATGGTGGCAGTAATACTCTGTTCTATAGGGAGCCTGTGAGTTGGAATCCACTTGACTCTGGGCTTGGTGTGAGCCATTAGGAATTGCATCAAGAAGGAAATGAGGGGTCCACTGGCAAAGGTGAGAAGGAGACTTAATGGTGGTGGCCTGAAGAGTTTGGGAAGTATTCCTTTGGGAAGTATTCCTGCCTGGAATCTATAGGGTTCCCG